AAGAGGACAGGGCTGGAGCAAGGCACTGAAATACCAGGAGCCACCCATGTTTGAAGGCAGGCTGTTTGCCAGCCGGGATTTGGGACTGCAGTATTTTCTTTGTCAAAAGCAGAAGGCAGGTTTTGGTGAGGTGGGGAGGTCAATGCACAGCGCTGTCTGTAGTGTAAGGTGGGGCTGTTCGAGGGAGCTGGGAGGAGGCTCTGCAAAGCCAGGTTTGCTGCAGCCTTTTCCCTTGGGCAGCCCATGTGGCACTGGCAGCTTCTCTGCTGCCCGAGCCCTGCCGCTTGTGGTCAGCTCTGCTATCTCTGTGCTGTGCTCTAGGTGTGATGCCTAACTACTTGAAGGGTACAGCAGGCAGATCCTTGTCCACTTGCAGCTCTCCAAGCCTCCCATATCTCCTCAGGAACCTTCAGCTCTTTCTGGTTAAATGCTGAGATCTCTCAGAAATATCTGGGGCAAGGAGAGGCAGTCCCCTACAGCTGTACAGCCAGTGTGCCTGCTGACTGCACTTTGCTGTTGGGCAGAAGGAAACTGGCTCTGGCTTAGCTCTGACTTTGGTTTTGGCTCTCACTCAGAACATCAGGCAAAGCTGGAGCTGCACAGGGACCTATAGTGAGCTCTAGGCACTACTCATGTACTGGCAGCAGGGCTCTGGCTTGCTGCAAAGCCCATTCAGGACACTGGGTTAAAAGAGGCTGAGTTTGTGAGTGTACATCCATTGGATGAAGGATACCTCAGAGATTTTCCTCCACAGTGTAGCTCTTTTCAGAGGCAGAGGAAGTTGAAATCCAGGGCAGCCCATGAGAACATAAAACCTGGTCCAGGGTGAGGTGCTAACCAGGCTGAAACAGGGCAGGAGCCTGTCCAATGGTTGCAGCTTAGTGTTCAGGAATGGGATGGGACCCCTTTCCTTCTCAGTGGTGTGGAGCATTTTCTCATGCTTGCAAAAGCAGGATGTGATACCTTTGACCTGCTTTGTAGTCTGATGACAGGCTTCACTTGCAGCCTTGCACCTTGCAGGAACAGCCCTGGCCCCTCTTCCTTGTCTGCTCTCAAGAAAAGCCCTCAGAGGCATGTCAGTCTGGCTTTTGCATGGAGCAATCTGTGATGCATCTGCCTTCCCTCGTGCCCAGGGGCTCACGTGGGATGTGGAAAAGCCCTGCAGGGATGCATGGGTCATCTCTGAGCTCCAGATGCCAAAATCTTTGGCCTGCCCTGGCATCCCCCATCATAGCCACCAGCTAGCTGCAAGGTACCAGGCTCTGGGCTAGCCTGTCTCTTCTCAAGGCAATGTGAAATAATTAGCTAATTAATCCCCATTCCCTCTCCACGGCAGGGAGTAGTACTGGCTCAGTGCCAAACCAGAGGTACAGGAGCAGGCAGTGATCTTGCCTTATGCTACATGAGTGGAGGCAGTGGGAAGGCCACAGCATCCCAAGCCCTTGGTGCAGCAGGTTACAGGGCAGGGAGCCCAGGGGACCAGACTACACTGTCTGCCTCCTTCCACTAAGAGTCCCGAGTGCAACAAAGAGGATCAAGATGCAGCCGAGGGAGGCTGAAGGGAGACAAGGTGGCTGTCCTCAGACAAGGTGGGGCAGTGCTTCTGATATGCCATAGAGGCAGAAGAATTTCCCAGAGATCAGAGATCCAGCGGTAGCAAAAATCCAGGAACAGTCTGTAGCTGGCATCAGCACAAGGCTATTGCTGACAGAAAAGGGCTGGGTAGGAAGGCAGGTTCAGTCAGAGCCCTCATGGGTATGAATGTGTGGCATGTATATGGGGCCACACATTGATGGAAGAGTGTGACAGTGTGGGGAAACACAGCTGGGGGGAGGTGCCCCTCCATCACCAGATATCCAACCATATGCTAATCCAACAGGTCTCCTCCTTGCTGTCCCCACTGAGCTGATGGACAAAGCTTTTCCAGCCAGACTCAGGACCCAGCTCTGCTCTGGGGCTCGCATGGGCTGTCAGGATACTAATGTGGTGGGCTGCAGCTGCAGCTCATATCTCTAAATCTTCTCTGCTTTTTAGGTCACTTTGTTCTGCTTATAAATCCTGGTCTTGTCTTACAAACCATAAATCTTCCTCTACAGTCAGCACCATTTTTTTCCCTCTGGTCTTGTTAAATAGCAAGGTGAGAATATTTAAAATTCAGATTGTTGCATTTTCTGTGGTTTTTGCTTGTAACAAATATTCTCTTCCATTCTGGGAAAATGCCACAGACCTGTGGCCAGACAGCCTTGCTTAGGAATTTGTAGGAAGAGAGAAATAAGGAAAAGGGGTTCCAAAGGATATGCTGAAATAATCTGCCACTCACACAGCCCTTGCATGTATGTACAATTACATGCATGTGTGTGGCACACCTGATGCACCTATGTGCAGGCAGCCTTATCTTCCCTGCTTTCACCCACTTACCACCTTGCTGGCACTCGCCATCTCTCTTCACTGAGGCACAGCCTTGCACAGATTAGAGCTACATCTTGTCCCTCCACCTCTAACCCTCATACTCTCATATCCAATCCCAAGCATCTGGCAGGGAACAAGTGGTTCCCATCCTGTCCCTTGCCAAGCATGGCCATTTACAAAAATCTAGTCTCTGCCATCCCAGCTTGGTGCTCTGAGCCTTTGCACCCCACCCCCTCCAATGTCAGGAGCTACTTCTCAGCAACCTCTATATCCAGCTGTGCTACTCATCCCTTCCTGCAAGATGCTGGTGGGATCCCCTGGCAGAACCAGCACCTCTCCTCTGCTGCTTGCCCAGGGAAGGGAGAGAGTCTGTGAGAGTTGGGTTCATGTGGTAAATAGCCCCTGCCAAGCACCAGGACAGCGCTGCATGGGATCAGGAGCCTGCCAAAAAGTTGTGTGTGATGGTACAAGGCTAGCACTCCATGCTCAACTAGCCTGGAGCCTGCAGATATGCAGTGAAGCATCCTTGTGTCTGCATTACAGTTCTCTTCTTAATGACTGTACAGCTCGTGTTTCTGCAGGTTTCACATGAAGGACTCTCCTTCCTTGAGCATGAAGTCAATACTCCTTTCGATCTTCATCACTCACTGTCTGGCTCCAGGCTTTACTTACTGCGCAGCATCCAATCACCAAGCCAAAGACAAAAGTGGCTTGCTCCCCTGTGGTCTTTTTGGTGGGCATTCCCAGTGATCCGGCTTTAACGAAATTAGCATTGCTTCTACCTTTGGAAGTGATATTGCTGTCTGCAGTGCACAGAGAAGGGACTGAGCTGTAGCAGCTGTCCAATCAATAGTACAGAGCACCTTGCAGGAGCAGCCTGAACCTCAGCCTGGTTTCTAATCTACCAGCACATCCTCTTCTCCCTTATGGAAGAATTGCGACATAGAGCTTGGGAATGTATTAGTGTGTAGGTAGTGAGAGTGACCACAGATGGGGTGTCAGGCAAACACAAACTAAACAGTAAATTCTGCGTTATTAGAGGTAATCCCCAATGGTGGTGCCCTGTCTGAGAGAGCCAGAGCCCAGGCTTTTACAGTATGTGTCATTTTACAGCTGACAACACCGTAAAAAATTTGAGTGCTTCTGCAAAGCAGAGCTAGTGTGGGGACTACTAGAACAGCAAGAATTAACAATTAATGACAAAAATGCAAAGTTCCAGGACAAAAGGTAAGTGGCTGGAGTAGACTCCCGCTCTCTGGGTGATTTTAAACAA